AGACATATTTTACCGTTTCCAGACCATACTGTACATTGTCATACATAATATATTTACAGTTACAAAGAGAAGCCTAGTTTTTCTCTCCTTTCCTATTCTCATTGGTTTGAGGAGAAATTGCACACAAATGATACACAAGGATGTCACTTTCTGAAGGTAGCTCCAATCCAAGAGAGGTTACTCCCACACTCTCACAACTGCAATCTGACTGTAGAGTCTAACCTTGTTTGAGAAAGGCTACAATGTATTGAGGGAGTTGAGCGGGTACTGGGTTAGCTACTGTAGCTGAGTGCATTCCTTCTGGTTTGGTTCAGGCCTCAGTCTCATTGTAACTGGATTTCTGGGGTTTAAACATGTGAAGGATTTCTCAGTGTGGGAGCGAGAGACAGAACGAGAGAGAGAGCGATAGAGAAGAAAACGGAGACCTTCAGAATAACAACTGCTCCATTCTCAGCGCGGCAAATAAATGCAACCTCTCTCCATAGCCATACATTGTCTCTCTGTCTCAGCTGCCACAGGCACTGTAACAGCCAATCAGGTTGCAGAATGAATGTCTTCAGTGTAGTATGCTACTGGGGTCTGATAGGGTCCACATTTCACCCTAAACTCAGCCTTTCAGCTGTTTCACCCCTCTTGTCTAGCCGACCACCATCCAACAACAAACAAATATAAGCAGCAATAACACATCATTAAGGTTAGACTAAATAGTCCCGTGTAGCTCAGTTGGTAGAGCATGGCGCTTGCAACGCCAGGGTTGTGGGTTCGTTTCCCACGGTGGGCCAGTATGAAAATGTATGCACTCACTAACTGTAAGTCGCTCTGGATAAGAGCATCTGCTAAATATGTAAAATGTAAATACACTTTTTCTGCTACAGTCCAGTGTCTGTGGAGGGAGTGTTAACGAGTGATAGGCCTACATGGAATCTGATAGGAAAGCTGTAAAACATGATTTCCCAGTCCAAAAGAACTCTGTAGAAGTGAGAAAAACACCCAACCTTCCTGTCTTGATAAGTCAAGGGCTGTGTGTCAATACACTGAAACGGCTTCCTTTCCTTGTCTCCTTCCCTTGAGTACAGTTGATACCTCAAAAGACTGGATAGGTTTACATCTATTGCTTTCGCCTATCATAAGGCAGCTAGATCGGTGAGGGAGGAGAGGACACAAGGACACGAGGAGAGGAAACCAGTTCAACTATTGAAACGCAGCAGAATATAGCCTCTTTTTGACATGAACTTCACTGTCCCTCGGCCATAACTCACTCCCACCGCTCGGTGACAGAAAAGGCGATGAACATTTACTAAACACTACCACCTGGTGGTTAAATCAATCACTACACCCAGCTGGCACCTCCTCCACACAGCAATCAGCGCGGCACCTTGTTTAATGAGCGGCGAGCTGAGAGGCCTACAGACCAATCACTGATCTCTCTTTAATGGAGCTCTAATCTTTAGCACGCTTGGCTAAGCCCGTTGGTATGGTGGTAGACACACCTCATTTCCATTTACGAGCGAGTTTTCCAGTACCTCACGGAGCTCTGAGCTTTCTGTAAGACGGCCAAGTCAGAATCAAACGCCTGCCCAGGATATAACTGACTGTCCCCCTGCCAAGGGCTCCCCCCTCTCCACCCCTTGTCTCCTCCAGAATCAGAGAGGCCAAAACGACATCCCCTCCACCCTCTTGTTGGAGCTTAGTTTAATTGGAGAATCGCATTGTGTCATTGGGGTCCATATGTGAGGCCACCTGGTGCAAGTGTGTGTGTTTGTGTGTGTGTTAGGATGCCTTTCTCTGAGGGAGAGAGAGACAGTGTACATGACTTGTTGTGATGATGGCCCTCGAGATGCTAAATGAGCCAATGGCAGTCAGATGTGAACCTGTTGAACCAGTGTCACACGTGCTACAGTATTTTCAGTAGTACAGGAAAATGGACTACGTGCGCCTTTGTAGAACATACTACACAACCAAGTAAGAGGTTGTAACTGGATGATTCTGTATAGTCTCTGGCACTTTCTCATTGCAGCCTCTGTTCATTATGGTGTGCGTGTGTGAGAACTCACCTTGTATATGCCGTTTCTTCCATATCCTGGCAGGGAAGCAGACTTACTGTAGGGGAAGTCTGGAAGGAACGAAACAATATCTAAGTCATCATAAAGACTCTTTGGCTACTTTTTCAACCTGATGTCAGTCAAGTCAGCATTGAACAGTGGTTGGCTACTCATTGGTGGAGGCCATGCCAGTCAAGTAAGGGTTGACCACTGATTGGCTACTCACTGGGCAGAGAGGCGTCAGTGGGCAGGCTGCAGGTGGACTTCCTGGGGTCCAGCAGGTCCTCTGGGAGGGGCTGGCCATCTATCTCACTCTTCAAGATCATCCAACTGGTCCTCGTCTACACAGAGAGATAGACAGCTTTGTAGTGAATAACCATGTTTTTTTTTTTTAAAGAACAGTCTCAACAGTCAATTATTGCAGGATATCCAATGATGGATTGACGTGTAGGTGTGTGGGCAAGGGGATGGATATACAGACAGACAGACAGACAGACAGACAGACAGACACACAGACACCTCACCTTGACGTCGTCTCCTTCTTGCCAGGACGTTCTAGAGGCTGTAAAACAGTCATACAGTATGTAACAAACCATACTCCTGATGTTACTAATGCAGAACACGTCACATCACAGTTACTGTATCACACCATCTACATCCGTTTACCAGCTACAGTCCAGTATGCTACACAGACTGCATCCTATAATAAATCAACTAGACACTGTGACATCATCATCATGAGACAGCCTGTCGAGGATCTCCAAATGGGCCATGCAACACTTACTGCTTTAAAACAACAGTGACACAGTCAACAGCAACAACCCTAGTCACAGTACTGTTGTATAATTAACTATCACAGTGTATAGTATGTATTCAACTATTGGTATATAGTATGCTGTTAGTGTTAGGGAAATAGTGTATTTTTTGGTGCAGACAAACGTCACACGCAAATCCATTCTATTGATCATAAGCGCATGTCTGTTTGTATATATTCTATCTAAACTGAAGACTTATAAATTGTGAGAAATATGTTATGATTAAGTTGTCATATTTCATATGTATTGTAGATCGTATAGGCCTATAATGGTCCATCGTGTGACACAGAAGATAAGAGATTATACAGCACATGCATTAATTTATTCAAAGGGATTTTGGTCATCTATTTGAAATACACTCACACGCATATAAAAAAAACATCTAAACACGAAACATAAACGTGACAAAGACACAAAGGGTTAAGTGGAACAAAAAGTGACCAAGACACCATCAGCACCACAACACCAAGTGATTCATGTCCTCGACCAATCACAATGGACACACAACAACATGATCAGGTCACATCTACTACTAGAACCAATGAGCTACTGAGATGAGTATGGACAGGCATGGAGGGATGAGCAGAAACTAACAGGTGTGATAAATATAAAGCGTAATATGGCCACTTGTGTTTTCCATGTCAGGCTTTTGACTCAGGCAACAATGAATTGCAGTGTACAGTACGAACACATTCTTCACAAAAGAATGCTAGAGTACATAAGGTTGCGGTGTATGTGGCTACAAAGGACATTGGGAACAAAAAGGTTCATAACCTCTTGAGTGTGGAAAGTCACTATTTCAGATGCCTGGGTGACACATCTGAGATAAGACCAGTTTAATTGTAAAATCTCCACCCACTATAGTTGCAGTAACAAGGCACTCAAAGGTAAATGTGGACTCCGTAGTACTCTGTTGCCTGAGTTGCTGACGCCTTTCCAATATAAAAAGACTGGAGATCGGTCAGTCACTTGAAAACATTGGGCCTAGGAAGAGGACATGAGTAGGAGGAAGTTGCCCTATAGACACTGATCTTAGGTCAGTTTGATGCTTTCCCGCCTAATGGTTAGAGTTAAGATCGTGGATAGGAAAGCTGATCCTATATCTGTGCCTACGGGCAACTTCTACCCGGAGCGTTTGGGACAGGCGACATGCGACACATCGTGCAGAGACCAGACCAGGAAATTAAACCAGGAAGTAAAGGAGAAGAGATGACTGTACCATGCTGCTTGTAGATAGGGGGTTTTCTATAGATATTATCTATCTTGACCTTAGTCTCTGAAGATGAGAGGAGGAGAGGCAGAAAGAGAAATGAAAGAAGCCCAGGATGAGAGAAAGATAGAGAGAGAGAGACAGAGAGAGAGAGAGAGAGAGAGAGAGAGAGAGAGAGAGAGAGAGAGAGAGAGAGAGAGAGAGAGAGAGACAGAGAGAGAGAGACAGAGAGAGAGAGACAGAGAGAGAGACACAGAGAGAGAGAGAGACAGAGAGAGAGAGAGACAGAGAGAAGAGAGAGAGAGAGACAGAGAGAGAGAGGAGAGAGAGACAGAGAGAGAGAGAGAGAGAGAGAGAGAGACAGAGAGAGAGAGACAGAGAGAGAGAGAGAGAGAGAGAGAGAGAGAGCGCATGAGTTAGCAGTTATTGAGAGATGGAATAGTCTGAGAAGCAGCAGAAGGAGAGGGGCAGCATACTTTATGTTTGATCCAATGCAAGACATAATATATTTGTATTATAACTGGCAAGACAGGGTATTATCTCCAAAAAATCATCACTTGTTGTCATTATTCATGCAACACACAGGAAAACATGTCATCTTGATCCAGTCCTATGGTAATGTGAAGCAGACACCCAGTTGGACATCCCCAGAACAACGATAATTGTTGATGTTGTATCCAACGATACATTTACTCAAGTTTTCCAAGAGTCATAAATAATAGAAATCTTCATATATTTCCCTTTTATTACAACACATCATTAATTATTGCATTTAGAGCAAAAACACAAATAAGCATACAGTTGAAGTCGGAAGTTTACATACACCTTAGCCAAATACATTTAAACTCAGTTTTTCACAATTCCTGACATTTAATCCTAGTAAAAATTCCCTGTCTTAGGTCAGTTAGGATCACCACTTTATTTTAAGAATGTGAAATGTCAGAATAATAGTGGAGACAATGATTTATTTAAGCTTTTATTTCTTTCATCACATTCCCAGTGGGTCAGAAGTTTACATACACTCAATTAGTATTTGGTAGCATTGCCTTTAAATTGTTTAACTTGGGTCAAATGTTTCGGATAGCCTTCCACAAGCTTCCCACAATAAGTTGGGTGAATTTTGGCCCATTCGTCCTGACAGAGCTGGTGTAACTGAGTCAGGTTTGTAGGCCTCCTTGCTCGCACACGCTTTTTCAGTTCTGCCCACACATTTTCTATAGGATTGAGGTCAGGGCTTTGTGATGGCCACTCCAATACCTTGACTTTGTTGTCCTTAAGCCATTTTGCCACAACTTTGGAAGTATGCTTGGGGTCATTGTCCATTTGGAAGACCCATTTGCGACCAAGCTTTTTTGTCCATTTGGAAGACCCATTTGTGACCAAGCTTTAACTTCCTGACTGATGTCTTGAGATGTTGCCTCAATATATCCACATAATTTTCCTTTCTCATGATGCCATCTATTTTGTGAAGTGCACCAGCCTCCTGCAGCAAATCACCCGCACAGCATGATGCTGCCACCCCCGTGCTTCACGGTTGGGATGGTGTTCTTCGGCTTGCAAGCAATCCCCTTTTTCCTCCAAACATAACGATGGTCATTATGGCCAAACAGTTCTATTTTTGTTTCATCAGACCAGAGGACATTTCACCAAAAAGTACGATCTTTGTCCCCATGTGCAGTTGCAAACCGTAGTCTGGCTTTTCTATGGCGGTTTTGGAGCAGTGACTTCTTCCTTGCTGAGCCGCCTTTCAGGTTATGTCGATATAGGACTTGTTTTACTGTGGATATAGATACTTTTGTACCTGTTTCCTCCAGCATCTTCACAAGGTCCTTTGCTGTTGTTCTGGGATTGATTTGCACTTTTCGCATCAAAGTACATTCATCTCTAGGAGACAGAACGCGTCTCCTTCCTGAGCGGTATGACGGCTACGTGGTCCCATGGTATTTATACTTGCGTACTATTGTTTGTACAGATGAACGTGGTACCTTCAGGCGTTTGGAAATTGCTCCCAAGGATGAACCAGACTCCCATGATGTCAAGCAAAGAGGCACTGAGTTTGAAGGTAGGCCTTGAAATACATCCACAGGTACACCTCCAATTGACTCAAATGATGTCAATTAGCCTATCAGAAGCTTCTAAAGCCATGACATCATTGTCTGGAATTTTCCAAGCTGTTTAAAGGCACAGTCAAGTTAGTGCATGTAAACTTCTGACACACTGGAATTGTGATACGGTGAATTATAAGTGAAATAATCTGTCTGTAAACAATTGATGGAAAAATTACTTGTGTCATGCACAAAGTAGAAGTACTAACCGACAGAAATGTGTGGAGTGGTTGAAAAACGAGTTTTAATGACTCCAAGTGTATGTAAACTTCTGATTTCAACTGTATGAAATAATAAATTAAAGGGCAAATGATTAAATTAAATAATTGTGCTAGTGACTCTTTTTATACATAATTGACACATTATGTCTGTCCTAAGCTGATCCAATCCATTTAACTTTCACTGGACCCAAACACAATTGTGTTAGATAGCAACAATACATTAACTACACTCAGCTCTTTTTAGGATAAATGACTCATGAAATACAACACATGTGGGTCATTTTATGCCCTGTTTCAGTCACTGCCAGCAACAGGGAATTATACACATATAAAAGCCATCAATACAATGGTTACAAAACACATTAACTTTGCTTTGTTCGTTTATTTATGTCAACTCCATCCAAGTATGGGGACTTTTCCATGTGGGTGATTGACACTGTAATAGTGAATGGAAATAATGACGATGGATCAAAAGGGGCTTTTCACTAGAAAAGTCAAAGTTATGTCCAATACTATATACTGTAAACTGTTAACACTTATCAAAGGATGGTTGACAGAGTATGATACAGGGTCATAGACTTAGTTAGACTTCTCATCTTTGTATCTGTCCCATTTTGGCGTCTGTGACAGCAGACGCTCCATTTTAAAGTAGTCAATATCTTCTTCTACTAGTTCTATGAGTTGGTAAACAAACTGTAAGGGTGCAAACTGCCACCTTGAGTGAGTTGTTTGCACAGGTATAGAGCCAAGGTTGGTGGTTTACTGCCACCTGCAGCTATGGAATGTTTGCTCACCAGACCTGGGTTCAAATTAGGGATGGGCACGGTTAATCGAATATCCGAACAGACGTTAATATTCGATTACTTGAGTGAGTGGGATTATAGGCCTATTTTAACAATGAAAAAGCTTTGTCTAAATTAAATTATCCTTGTGAAGTTTTTACCTACAAGGATATACCATGACATTTGAAATTCTTAATACATTTTTTATAACGGTGCGTTGAGCTACTGCTGCACATTAAGCCTTCAGGTTGCCCTGACGTCAGTATGCTGTTTTCCCCCCCACTTCAAATAGCAATTACAGGCGCTCACCTAACAGAGTTTCCACTATACCTGAAACAGATCAATGCAAAACACTCACCAGAAAAACGTTTTCTAACAGAATCAGTTCTATCATTGCGAAAAACGTATCTTTCACTGTTGCTGCCAAATTACCAGAGAAATTACATTTACATTTTAAATTTTAGTAATTTAGCAGACGCTCTTATCCAGAGCGACTTACAGTTAGTGAGTGCATACATTATATATTTTTTACTTTTTTCATACTGGCCCCCCGTGGAGAGAAAAGCACCCTGTCTGGTGTTTACCTTTGCCATGTGCATTTGCATCATTCTGATTGGTCGAGAGTCAAGAGCAATTACATTTGGGGAGGGGGAATTTTGACTATCCAGATACCCCCAAAAATGTTATGATATTATTCAAATAGCACAATTGTTTCAAATGACCATCCCTAGTTCAAATACTATTTCAAATATCTCAATTACTTTCACTTACATTTCGAAGTAAGATATTTTTTATTTGAAAAGACATACTGGAATGTGTTTGGAAATACACTTGGAAAGTTTTGGCATGTATTTGAAAATACTCAAATAAATACACAGAGTATTTTCAAATACAAATAAATACTCCCATGCATTTGAACCCAGGTCCTGGGAGTATTTTAAAGAATGTATTTAGAAATAAGTATTTGAAAATATTTTATAGAAGTTATTTGAAAATAATTTAAAATACTTCCAATAGAAGTACATTATTATATTTAAATAACAAATAATCAAACACATGTATTTGAACCCAGGTCAGGCTCTCACAAGTGTAATTCATTGGCTGATCACTTCTGATGACCTGGATGGAATTACAGTATGTGAACCCATAGGAAGTGGTGACATTTCTCAGTGGCGCTGCCCATGCAGTCTGGTTCTATGTCAGCCATTGATCGTGACATCATAAAAAATTGCTTTGAGTGCAGCAGTTATAATGTGGTTGCATTATAAGAAGATATGATAAGGTCGATACAATTTGTGTGTTACAGTGGGTGAGATTCTAACGAATCTCGATTTACCTGTGAAACTGAAGACACATTCAGATTTAGACAGACCTCAACATATTGTATAGAACAGATCCCAACACAGGATAAAGAAAGAGGAGAGAGAAAGAGAGAGCGTCAGAGAGAAAGATACATTTAGAAAGAGAGGGATAGTGTGACAGATAGAGGGAGGGAAAGTGAGACAGATAGATCTCGAGAGAGGGAGTCAAAGAAGTACTATGGACAGGATAGGTCCGGAAGCAACCCTTTGACATGGATAAAATGCTAACACAGGAAGACAGGGAGAACAGAAAAGGGTTGATCCCAGACATCAGATATACTGTTATTGTATAATGTCCATCCACCTACTTAGATCTGTTACCTAGACAGACCTGGACAGACAAGACAGCAGACAGACGGCATGGTGCAATTGAGAGTGGTCGTGTTGATGGGGTCAAGGGTCACAGGGTCAAAGGTGAGAGGTCAAAGCGAAGTGGCAAACCTACCTGGTACGTGGAAATGCCTGGGAGCAGCCACATAGGTGGAGGAGGGAGATTTGCCGTCAGAATAGGTGGACAAACTGGGGGTACTCCGACCACTTTCACTACCTCCAATGGGGAAAGGAGGGACGGGGAGGGAAGGGGGAGAGCAAGAGTAGTGGACAAAAAAAGGGGGGCAAAGAGGGGAGCAAAGAGTCATGCTGTTGTGCTTACTGGTCAAAGTTTTAACTATGAAGCGGAACCAACATTATTCATTACAATTATCAACTGACTTGATAACCCAACCATTGGTTATTGATAGGGCCATGAGTCTTTCATGACCATTTATCCAGACCAGGAAAAACTCTAGGCCCTTGTTATTGGTACTTGGCTCATGCGATATCAAAAAGCATGAATTAAGCTTATGAGCATCTTATAAAGGCAGAGTGCTCAAAAAAAAAAAACAGGTTGGTTAAAGGCTTTACAGTTAATAGCAATGCATTGTGGACACCGATGCCTGCTGAAAAGGGACAATGTCAATATGTTTCTACTTTCAACTGAAAGTGTGTGGGACTGTAATTATGACCACAGTCCATCACAATGCATTGTGTCACACAGGCTGGATGATTAAGTCACTGGCACCTTACAGGCCATAACTAATAAACATCTACATAAGAGAGTTTAAAAGAACAGAGGGTGAGGGGAAAGAAAGGCAAGAAAGAGGAGGAGAAAAAGAGGAGCGAGATTGTTAATTTGATTGAGCACACACGCCTCTCTCGCCTTTGTGGGAGGAACAAAAGGCAGAGTAAAGCCATTTGGATGCAAGAGGATAAGATGTCATTCTGAAAGAAACACACACGGACACATATACGCACAAGCACGTACACACAAACATACGCGGACAGTCACGCACACGCATGTCTACACACACAGTCATACACATGGACACACACACAAACACACACACTGCCGTTAGTGCAGACCTCAGTGTACAGTCGTGGTCAAAGGTTTTGAGAATGACACAAGTATTGGTCTTCACAAAGTTCGCTGCTTCAGTGTTATGAGATATTTTTGTCAGATGTTACTATGGTATACTGAAGTATAATTACAAGCATTCCATAAGTGTCAAAAGCTTTTATTGACAATTACATTAAGTTTATGCAAAGAGTCAATATTTGCAGTGTTGACTCTTCTTTTTCAAGACCTCTGCAATCCGCCCTGGCATGCTATCAATTAACTTCTGGGCCACATCCTGACTGATGGCAGCCCATTCTTGCATAATCAATGCTTGGAGTTTGTCAGAATTTGTGGGGTTTTGGTTGTCCACCCGCCTCTTGAGGATCAACCACAAGTTCTCAATGGGATTAAGGTCTGGGGAGTTTCCTGGCCATGGACCCAAAATGTCGATGTTTTGTTCCCCGAGCCACTTAGTTATCACTTTTACCTTATGGCAAGGTGCTCCATCATGCTGGAAAAGGCATTTGTCGTCACCAAACTGTTCTTGGATGGTTGGGAGAAGTTGCTTTCGGAGGATGTGTTGGTACCATTCTTTATTCATGACTGTGTTCTTAGGCAAAATTGTGAGTGAGCCCACTCCCTCGGCTGAGAAGCAACCCCACACATGAATGGTCTCAGGATGCTTTACTGTTGGCATGACACAGGACTGATGGTAGCGCTCACCTTGTCTTCTCCGGACAAGGTGTTTTCCGGATACCCCAAACAATCGGAAAATTACTTTACCCCAGTCCTCAGCAGTCCAATCCCTGTACCTTTTGCAGCTTATCAGTATGTCCCTGATGTTTTTCCTGGAGAGAAGTGTCTTCTTTGCTGCCCTTCTTGACACCAGGCCATCCTCCAAAAGTCTTCGTCTCACTGTGCATGCAGATGCACTCACACCAGCCTGCTGCCATTCCTGAGCAAGCTCTGCACTGGTGGTGCCCCGATCCCGCAGCTGAATCATCTTTAGGAGACGGTCCTGGCGCTTGCTGGACTTTCTTGGGTGCCCTGACGCCTTCTTCACAACAATTGAACCTCTCTCCTTGAAGTTCTTGATGGTCCAATAAATGGTTGATTTAGGTGCAATCTTACTAGCAGCAATATCCTTGCCTGTGAAGCCCGTTTTTGTGCACAGCAATGATGACGGCACGTGTTCCCTTGCAGGTAACCATGATTAACAGAGGAAGAACAATGATTTCAAGCACCACCCTCCTTTTAAAGCTTCCAGTCTGTTATTCTAACTCAATCAGCATGACAGAGTGATCTCCAGCCTTGTTCTCGTCAACACTCTCACCTGTGTTAACGAGAGAATCACTGACATGATGGCAGCTGATCCTTTTGTGGCAGGGCTGAAATGCAGTGGAAATGTTTTTTGGGGATTAAGTTCATTTTCATGGCAAAGAGGGACTTTGCAATTAATTGCAATTCATCTGCTCACTCTTCATGACATTCTGGAGTATATGCAAATTGCCATCATCAAAACTGAGGCAGCAGACTTTGTGAAAATTAGTATTGTGTAATTCTCAAAACTTTTGACCACAACTGTATTTGCAGGGCAGCTCCTCCACACATCTGGAGCTGAGGCAGGACACTGAGCCCGGAGGAGAGGTGGGGTGAGGGGGGGGGGGGGGGGTTTGAAGTATGACCCTCAGCGACGTCATAAAGAGACTTAGCTTATCTCAGAATAAGAATCTACTAACAAATGGTAGCAATTCATAATTCAAGAAATAATCATCATGTACTGATAATAACTCTTACATTGGATACAGTTGTCATTGCATCATTCACATCAATTCATCGAGTGGATTTTCTTTCTGTCATTGCCTTATCCCTCTGACTCATTTCTACCTCACTTTTCTTCCATTCGTCTTCAAAATGAAATTAAATGAAATGTTAATTACATTCAATGACCTCTTATCTCTCTCACACACTGCCTGCCTCTATCACCCATTAATAGTGTTGAAACCAAACATCTAAGCCACTTGCGTACTTGTGAGGGATAATTATCCACAAACACAATCATTTAAACAAGACTCCAGAGAGAACCTGATAGTTCATTAAACCCAAACCAGTGCATAGAAACAAACTCTCTTTCACGCTGTGTTAGGAACCGCTTGAGCCTGAAAAGGCAACCAGCCCAGTGTGTGTGTGTGTGTGTGTGTGTGTGTGTGCTTGTGCGTGTTTGTATGCAGAACGACGTGCCACTGCAACTGGCAACCAGACCCCAAATTACAGCACCATCACTCCACCACTCCTCTCCTCCCTTTCATTCCCTCATTCCTCCACTCCTCTCTTTCATCTTGGCTCGCTGAGAAATTTACTTTCCATCTCTCCGCCTTTCATGGAAAAACCACCAAACCCTGGACTGCGTGTTCTGATTTACAGTACTAAAGCTCCGGTGAAACCTCATCTCTCTCTATCTCTCTTTCCTACTTTTTTCACTCGTTCTCAAGGCTCTTTCCCCCTCCAACCTCTTTACACGGGGAGTTCAACGTTCATTACTCTCTACCTCTCATTTCCCCCTCTCTTCCACCCTCTTTTACTCTCTCCCGCTTCCTAACTCATGAGGCTTGAAATTATCAGCCCAAAAAGCTGTGACGTCCACCCAGTTATCTCCAGTGACCCAATGAGTTACAATCTCTAAAAGCCCTGCGGCATAAGTCAGCCCGACATTGAGACGAGTATCATGGTGTGTCTCCAGCGATAAAACTCGTAAATCTGGCTGATAGTAAAAAGAGCTGATGGGTATCTAAGGAGGCCTTCGTGGTTTGGCTGACTTTGTCTGCTGAGGCTTAGGAGAAGCATGTAGCTGAGTGATCGCTTTTTCGTATCTCTTCCCTGAGGGAAACTGGATGTGACTCATGATAAAACGTAGGCCTACTCCCACACATGTGTATTTGTCAAGGTTTCAGTCGAGTTGACTTCGGTCAAACACATTTATTCATTGCTCGCAGATACTGTATGTGACTTATCATGTGGTTCCAAACTAAACCGCAGACCGACATATTTAACTAGAATACTGTAAACCCCCCAAACTCATATCTCCCTGTCAGCAACCCTCCCACAACCATGTAAACAACCACCTGCAGTTTCACCCACTCACTCCATACACAACCACCATCTGATACCAAAGGTTTAAAGGGCTGAAAGACACTGAATAACAACAGTCAACTTTAAGGCAAGGCATGGTTCCCAAAATAACAACAACAACAACAACAACAAACACTAACAGGCAATCCATTTCATGTCAAGGACAAGCCAACAGTTCAGGTTACAAGTACAACACTTGCATCCCACCAAACATAGAAACATCAAATAAGGAAGTCATCCACCATCTTCTCCCCAAATATCAATATATCCCCATGTCAAGTATAACTGAAATACAAATAGTATATCGAACATATCCACAATTACAGTAGGTTCCCATGCAAAACAACAAGACTAAGACAACCTGAAGACAAAAAATTGAAACTTCCACAGACAATAGAAAGGGCAGGCAGAAACAAACTTAAGGGGTCCCAACACACAACCTTGATGCACACCAAGAAAATACAGCATTACGCTAAGAGAAAGAGAAACAGAGAGATAGAGACAAGGGGGGTCTGGTGCGTTACCGTAACTGTGAGGAGGTAAATTGAGATGTAGGGACGTCTTAGGGTTAGATTCAGGTGGTAGTAGGGGGTCCTGTTTGAGGCCTAGGGGGGGGTGAAGGAGGGGGAGAGGGGGGAGACGAAGCACAAGGAGGTGGTTTGACACGTCACACCTGTGTGGGTAGGGGAATTCTCGCGTAGGCAGAGGGGTACAATTGAACCCCACGGGTGTGCAGAAAAATTGTGTCGAAAAATTGTACTTATGGTAACTCTGATCGGGGGTTGTGGGGGTGCTAACAATAGAGAAACAATAGGCATTTATCCTATGTAAAACTGTCAAACCAACACCAGCAGAAACCATGCAGATATTGTGGGAAACACAGCACACAAAAATGTAATACCAGTAGGTCTAAAACAGTAATTGTGGGACTCGTTGGGTGCCATTGTTTATTTAACTATCGATTAGTTCATACACAGCCGGGGTTGGGGGACATGCAGTGTAATCACTGCAGAGCCGGGAACAGGTCTAGTCTAAAGCTGACACTGCAATCCACACCAGCGGACCCATGGTTCCAGGACAGCGTGCTAGGGACTAGGGAGGGACTAGCTACCTCTGAAGTAGGGCACATAGTTGTGCTGCTGGAGCATGGCCAGGGTGGTGGGATTGAGGGGCAGAGGAGAGTTTCTGCCCCCAGGAGAGACTCTGCCCCTGGGAGAGATTCTGCCAGGCACTGTCATCCCCCCAGGTATTTGCAGCGCCCCAAGGTACTTGCGAGGTAGGCCCCCTGAGTAGTGCATGGGGAGGGAGGAGGAGTCCCTAGCCAAGGAGGAGAGGTACTTAGGCCCCCCCGTGTAGGCCGAGGGGTGAGGGAGGGAGCTGGAGTCAAGGGGCTGGCCATCGTATCGATTACCCATTGCTTTACTGGCCATATAAAGATCCTCTGTAGGGGAAGATGGTGTATGAGAAGGACAAGATGTTTTTTAGGGCAAAGAGGAGACTGTCCATGTCCTGTCCTACCCAATAGATAAATACAGTACATATTCTGTGTTAATACCATGTAAAAGTGATGGCATAACCCCCTCATTCAAAGGGAAGCATGGAATGAAAATTCATGAATGTCGGAAAAGCACAATTCTGCAAGGAAAAAAGAACAGGATCTTGGAAAAACATGTGCTCTCTAAAGTAATAGAATTAGCGTGGCAAATCAAGATGACACTTAAATGAGGTTGCACATTTTGGTATATGATGCACATAAAAATTACATCATACACCAGTCAATTCAGGAAGTACACTGAAATTCCAATTGGAATTGGAATGTGGTTTACTTTCTGAATTGACTGGAATTTAAATGGAACTGATCCCAACCCCGTCATGCACTATATGCAAATGCTGTATATTATTGACTACATTTGTATATATTATTATATTATAGCAAAATACTATATTCTACTTTTCTATATGTTAACTCTAATATACAACGTTTTCCTATGTGTTCTTTTTTTAAACTACTGCATGCTAGAGGTGAATGGTGAGGGGTGAGGGCTGAGGGGGTACCTACCTGGCCTGCTGTAGTTCTGGGGGGAGCGGGACGGGGTGTATCCTCCATACCTCCCCAGGGAGCTGTTGGAGCTGGGACTGGAGGGCCTCCTCTGACGGGGAGACTTCTCTCCGTCACCCTGGAAACAAGGACAGGAGGTTATATCATAATGATGTCATACAAGGAGGGAAACTGATGATGTCATGGATGCAGCCAAATACCTAACACGGAACGTTCACACACTCTACAATCATGGTGGGGTACACTAGCACGGAATCAGAGAGGAATGTGTGCTCCACATTAGATTATGGTGAATTCACTGATGTGATTTTAATGATCGGGATCAATCACTTTATAGTGTGCAAATGTCCATGAAAACCACCCTTTTGCGTCAACAAACGCACACAGGCACACACACAGGCGCGCACAGACACACACGCACAGACACACACGCCCACACAGTTCAATTCTAACACACAACCATCAATAACATTTGAGAGGAAACATAAAACAACGTTATGGGGAAACATTGAAATGAGTCATGTCCAGGTGGAGCCCAGTATGAGGTCCAGACTATGGTATTTTACCTCTGTTGGAGTAGGAGAGAGCAACTGGGGTGACTGCAAATAAAGAGGGGAAGACAGAAGCAGATGAGTAAAAGATTTGGCATGGGCCCTCAGATCCTCAAAAAGTTATACAGCTGCACCATTGAGAGCATCTTGGTATGGCAACTGCTTGGCATCTGACCGCAAAGCGCTACAGTGCTTACTTAAGTGATAATGCCCGAGAAGCCTGTGTTTGGAGGATATATTGGCACGGGTGTTGTTAGAAGGACAGCAAGGTTTATACAAATCTCCGCTGTTGAAAACGAAATGTTAGTCTAAAAGAAATATGAGATAATGTAAAGATGCTTTTTATAGTGGAGATCAAGTTTATACATTTCATGGCTGGGATGATGAGACAGTGGATTGCGCAGTCAGATGGAACAGAGTAAATAGGCATTTTAGCGTCATAGATTTAGCCGGTGGTAACTTGTGGAATTGACACCGGCTGGAATGCGGTTTTAACCAATATCAGCATTCAGGATTAGACCCACCCATTGTATAAGGCCCAGTACATCACCGGGGCTTAGCTCCCTGCCATCCAGGACCTCTATACCAGGCGTTGTTAGGAAGGCCCTAAAAATTGTCAAAGACTCCAGCTACCCAAGTCCTAACTTGTTCTCTCTGCTACCGCACGGCAAGCGGTACTGATGCACCATCACATACGCTGCTGCTACTTTTTATTATCTATCCTGTTGCCTAGTAACTTTATCTCCATCTATATGTACATTCTTACCTCAATTACCTCATACCCCTGCACATCGACTCGGTACTGGTACCACGTGTATATAGCGAAGTTATCGTTACTCATTGTGTATTTATTATGACTTTTTCTACTACTTCTCTATTTTCTTTCTTTCTGCATTGTTGGGAAGGGCCCATAAGTAAGCATTTCACTTTTAGTCTACACCTGTTGTTTACGATGCATGTGACGAATAAAATTTGATTTGATTTTAGTAAAATTAACTAATATCATATGAGGTAATATGAGTTAATCAAACAAACAGCATGATCTTGACGTGTTAGGAGTTGGGTTTAATGAATACGACTTGCTTACTTGCTATACCCCTCCCAATGTCTCTAGTTGTGGGAATATTGAGGGAAGGAGGGATACATTCAAAACAATACTAATTAATACTGTTTTGAATGTATGACAAAATCGGCTTTTTGCTTAAGACATTTTCAGCCAACTAGGCTGGGAGAGAGCTATGATTCAACTGAGGAAATGAGTTGTAAAACAGGAAGGAAGGATACATTTTCTGCATAAGGCTATATGAGACTGATGGATAAAGGTTAGTTCAGTGGATGGCTTATGGAGGGGGAGAGAGAGAAAAAGAGAACGCATCTCCCTTGTTCCCTTCCTTGTCCCCTTACATCTCCGTAGTGTCTTTCCTCTGAGGGGTAGCTGACATAGGGAGAGTAGGAGAGCATGTCTGGCCGGTCGATGTCGTAGATAGCCTTGATCTTTGGCAGAGCAGCAAGGTCTTTGTAGTCCAGCATCTCATCTCCTAGTTTGGCCTAGGACACAGAGAAACACATCAATTCAGTACTTTTAACATCAACCACTTTGATAATGAGAAAATTATAATGGTATAGGCAATTCACTCTAGCACAGTTGAAATACTGTAGTCAACTTAGCACAGTCGACAATCAATCAATCAGTCAATTGATTGCATTGCATGCTCTTTGGTGTTTTAGGCTGGATATCTATAAAGCACTTTGTGACAACTGCAATATAAAAAGGGCTTTATATATTTTTGCTGTTGATTTGGTCACAGTGGACAACCCTGGTACTGGAGACCTACAGGATGGGCAGGCTTTTGCTACTGACCATCACTAACACACGTGATTCAACTAATCAACTATTCATCTCGATCTTATGTAATTGATTCAGGAGTGTTAACGCTGGGCTAGAAAAAAACAAATCCCTGCACAGGAGGTTGGTGGCACCTTAATTGGGGAGGACGGGCTCGTGGTAATGGCTGGAGCGGAATAAGTGAAATGGTATCAAATACAGTACCAGTCAAAAGTTTGGACACACCTACTCATTCAAGGGTTATTCTTTATTTTTACTATTTTCTACATTGTAGAATAATATTGAAGACATCAAAACTATGAAATAACACATATGGAATCATGTAGTAACCAAAGAAGGGTTAAACAAATCAAAATATATTTATATTTGAGATTCTTCAAAGTAGCCACCCTTTGCCTTGATGACAGCTTTGCACACTCTTGGCATTCTCTCAACCAGCTTCATGAGGTAGTCACCTGGAATGCATTTTAATTAACAGGTGTACTTTGTTAAAAGTTAATTTGTGGAATTTCTTTCCTTCTTAATGCGTTTGAGCCAATCAGTTGTGTTGTGACAAGGTAGGGGTGGTATACAGAAGATAGCCCTATTTGGTAAAAGACCAAGTCCATATTATGGCAAGAACAACTCAAATAAGCAAAGAGAAACGACAGTCCATCATTCCTTTAAGACATGAAGGTCAGTCAATCCGAAGAAAAAGTCAAGAACTTTTAAAGTTTCTTCAAGTGCAGTCACAAAAACCATAAATAAATGCTTCACAGAGTTCAAGTAACAGACACATCTCAACATCAACTGTTCAGAGGAGACTGCGTGAATCAGGCCTTCATGGTCGAATTGCTGCAAAGAAACCACTACTAAAGGACACCAATAAGAAGAAGAGACTTGCTCGGGCCAAGAAACACGAGCAATGGACATTAGACCGGTGGAAATCTGTCCTTTGGTCTGATGAGTCCAAAGTTGACATTTTTGGTTCCAACCGCCATGTCTTTGTGAGACACAGAGTAGGTGAACGGATGATCTCCGCATGTGTGGTTCCCACCGTGAAGCATGGAGGAGGAGGTGTGATGGTGTGGAGGTGCTTTGCTGGTGACACTGTCAATGATTTATTTAGAATTCAAGGCACACTTAACCAGCATGGCTACCACAGCATTCTGCAGCGATACACCATCCCATCTGGTTTGCGCTTAGTGGGACTATCATTTGTTTTCAACAGGACAATGACCCAACACACCTCCAGGCTGTGTAAGGGCTATTTGAACAAGAAGGAGAGTGATAGAGTGCTGCATCAGATGACCTGGCCTCCACAATCACCCGACCTCAACCCAATTGAGATGGTTTGGGATGAGTTGGACTGCAGAGTGAAGGAAAAGCAGCCAACAAGTGCTCAGCATATGTGGGAACTCCTTCAAGGCTGTTGGAAAAGCATTCCAGGTGAAGCTGGTTGAGAGAATGCCAAGAGTGTGCAAAGCTGTCATCAAGGCAAAGGGTGGCTACTTTGAAGAATCTAAAATCTAAAATATATTTGGATTTGTGTTATTTCATAGTTTTGATGTCTTCACTATTATTCTACAGTCGTGGTCAAACGTTTTGAGAATGACACAAATACTAATTTTCACAAAGTCTGCTGCCTCAGTTTTGATGATGGCAATTTGCATAGAACACAGCCATAAATAAAGAATGGTACCAACACATCCTCCGAGAGCAACTTCTCAAAGAACAGTTTGCTGACAACCAATGCCTTTTCCAGCATGATGGAGCACCTTGCCATAAGGCAAAAGTGATAACTAAGTGGCTCGGGGAACAAAACATCGACATTTTGGGTCCATGGCCAGGAAACTCCCCAGACCTTAATCCCATTGAGAACTTGTGGTCGATCCTCAAGAGGCGGGTGGACAAACAAAAACCCACAAATTCTGACAAACTCCAAGCATTGATTATGCAAGAATGGGCTGCCATCAGTCAGAATGTGGCCCAGAAGTTAATTGACAGCATGCCAGGGCGGATTGCAGAGGTCTTGTAAAAGAAGGGTCAACACTGCAAATATTGACTCTTTGCATAAACTTCATGTAATTGTCAATAAAAGCCTTTGACACTTATGGAATGCTTGTAATTATACTTCAGTATACCATAGTAACATCTGACAAAAATATCTCATAACACTGAAGCAGCGAACTTTGTGAAGACCAATACTTGTGTCATTCTCAAAACATTTGACCACGACTGTACAATGTAGAAAATAGTAAAAATAAAGAAAAACCCTTGAATTAGATGTGTCCAAACTTTTGACTGGTACTATATATCAAACACATGGTTTCCATGCATTTGATGCCGTTCCATTTGCTCCGTTCCAGCCATTATTATGAGCCGTCCTCCCCTCAGCAGCCTCCTGTGATACACACTGTTGTGCTCCAGGACCCGGGTTAGTGACCACTGTTTTCCCTGTGATGCCCTCTAGTGGTGAGATGAGGTGGTGCTTACATAGATGACCCTGCTGGGAGAGCCAGATGCACTTGAGGCTGGGACAGAGGTGATGCTCTCAGAAGAGGTCCTGGTCACCTGGAACAAGGACAACAAGGAGTTAACTCTACTCATTACCACTGGAAAGGAGTGAAAGGTAGAGGGAGAGAGAAAGAGAAAGAGACAGAGACAGAAACACATGTATCTCTCTGGAATTGAAAACTTCATATTTCTACTCTCAGCGAGTTTATCTTTCGGACTAGCATTTTTTATAAACCTGCCACTAACATGAGACTAACTCTGAACCTATGTTAACATATAGCAGTGTAACAACAAAACTAGAGAAAACGTTCACCCGTCCTCTGGTGATAAAACACTACGCAGCATCATTCAAGGTGAAAGCAGTGGTAGTTGTGACCAAAACAGTCTCCTGACAGATATTGATACTGTGACACCAGACAGACACAATAGAGTTGTTTATTAGTGAAGCGCAGGGGGGTCACAGTGATCAGTGTCAAGTTTAACCACCACCTATTCAGCTGTTAGAGTTAAAGTTGGGGCTAAATTCCATTTCAACCTAATTCATCACCTGAATTGAAATGGAATGGATCCAAACCTCGGTTATTAACATACTACTACAGTAAAGACACTGTTTGGGTTGGATCACATGATCAACCTAACAGGATTATGGGTAAGTGAGTGTCCTAGGGCGGGCTAGGTACAGTAAGTGCCCTGTGGGCATGGCTAGCTACTGCGTGTGAAGCCATTCAGGGGTCAAGGTTGAGGGGTCAGGGCAGCCCATGCAGAGGTTGGAGGTGGGTAAGGGGTCTGGGCTGCACATGCATCACAAACCTGCTGCTCAGAGATGTCATTGAGCTGTATCCGGACCTGCTTCTGGGAACAACAAGTGTATTACATTGGGGAGGGGACAGAGCACTGGTCTGGGACCTGGGCTTATTGACTTACTGCACAGTAAGTGCACTTATTAGGTACCCTTTGTTCAGTTAATCAAGATCAACACAGTCCCAGTCAGTCAAGCTGGGCTGCTTCTTCTCTACGGATGGAATCCTAACTTGAGACACATGATGATGTGTGGTTTAAATGAATATGACTCCTAGATACTGTGACATAGCCATAGTTAGACTGTGGAGCTACTTTAGAGTAATCTCTTGTGGACAAATGCACATAACAAACGGTAGTAGCATCTGTCGACAGACTGTTGGACGTAACGACTAATGAGTAACTTTGTTCCGGTACACTGATTTTCCTTCACTAATCATTCGGACAAATCACGATTTCGCAGGTGCTCACATCTTTCGAATTTCGGAACGGGAGGGGACATTTGGCATAGACTTGCCCGAAACTGTCTGAGAGTTTCCGTATTGAGGGGTGGAGACTTTGCTAGTCTCGTTAGTATATTTTCCAACATGTCTTCCCCCAGAACTGAACTGCGTATCTGACGCAATTACGTAGTACTGGGTGTCTGAGATTAACTTTCGAGAGGCCTGGGTGTGGAAGACCAGTGTGATGCATGGTCATCCTGTCTCAGAGAGAGAACTCACCTTACTCTTCTCCTCATGTCTGGCTGCCTGTCTGCAGGGAGGATGCCAGATACAGTTACCTGAGAGAGAGGGAAGGAGAGAAAGAGAGAGAGAGAGAGAGAGAGAGAGAGAGAGAGAGAGAGAGAGAGAGAGAGAGAGAGAGAGAGAGAGAGAGAAAGTAGAGAGAAAGAGGAGAGAGAGAGAGAGAGAGAGAGAGAGAGAGAGAGAGAGAGAGAGAGAGAGAGAGACAGTAGAGAGAACAAGGAAAATAGGGAGAGAGCGAAAGAGGGAGGGAGAGAGAGAAACACAATGAGATGCATCCATTTCGAATGTTATATACAACCCATATTCTCCCCACCGCCGCGGTATCTCCGACAAAGCGTCATGAGTTTGGCAAGCAAGAGTACAACCCTGCGGTCCCATATATATATATGTGACTCATAGCAAATCAATTCCTATGCTGTCAGATAGGAAACTGCAGGGAGAGAGAGACAGGTTTCTTGTAAATCACTGACTGGAGCCAAGCTAACAGCGCTAGTGGTCTAGGAGCAGTAAATAAGAAATACGGTCATACCATTGTGAATCATAAGTCTGAGTTTGTGTGAGGTGATTCATGCCATAGACATTCAGTCATTCACTAACACTGTGATCTAATTAATTAGCATTGGGCAAATGCACTGTGGTTTTATGGCAGCTTCTATGCTGATGGACGGCTGTCGGTGCATTTCTGAGTGAAAAGAGGGAGAGGGAGAGAGAGAGAAAGAGAAGATGGATCAAGTGTAACAGAGAGAGAGGGAAGAGAAAGACGGAGAGAAAGTGAGAGACACAGAGAGAAGAAGAGAGGTTTGTTTACCTTGCAGGTACATCTCCTCTCCCTCTCCGAACATCTGCTCACACCTGGCACAGCGGGCACATGAGGGGTGGTAGTGTTTCTCCCCAGCCTGGTAGGGACAAGAGGTCAAAGGTTACAAATTCACGAGGAAACAACCTAGGAAATCGACAGTGAGATAGAGAATACTGAAGAAGTTACAAATGGAAAAAGCCTAAATAAAAGAATCCACAGTTAATAATAATATAATCAGTTGGTTTACAAACATTTTATCTTTCCTCTTGAATGTGAGACTGACCTTTTCCTTGTAGTAATTACACCAATAACCTTCATTCACAGACACAAGTATATCCACAACCAGACAAAACACTTACAGAGGCACATTTTAAGAAAGCACTTATAGAGGCATCATCTGGATGTATAGCTTTATTGGTTTATATGCTCCTGATACTGCTGTTTAAAACATTCCCTAGAGTGTGTCCAAACTAATTCACATTCGGTAAGCTTATCCAATTTACATCACTAAATCAGATGAAGATGACGTCGAGTCAGAAGATGACAACAAATAAAGTGCAGTACTATAACTTGAACACAAGGGGGTGTTCTGGTACAAGCTATGTTACAGTTTAGGCTTGTACAGTGCAGATAATACTGCAGGTTGGCTATGGGATCACTAACTATGTCTACGGTTGTGAACATCCAAACCTTCATGAGACTAATCAAGATGTCTAAAAGGTGCTCAATGTATATATGCATCATCAATATTTATTGTAGCCACTTATTCTATTATTAGACATGAGATCGACCCACCACTCTGTAAGCAACCTATGTGGTTTTATCACCATAGTAGTGACATGAATGGCTTCACATTGAGATGCTAATGTCGGATAAGATGTTATTCGTTACACTTTCATGAATGCAATAGAGCTGTTGGAGGTGGTAGAAATGATGTATGTGTCTATAATGACATGATGTCATGGTGTGGATTGCATCTAGGTTGGGTTAGCTAACGAGAGTTTCACTCTCTCCCTCTTTCTATCTCTCTCTCTCTTCCTATCTCCCTCTCTTTCTGCCTCCTCCATACATGTGTCTCTCTCTATATACAAAATTGTTATTGCAAACAACATGACATTATCTCTCTTTCCCCACTCTGCGCTTTTTCCATTTAATCTAGACCACATTCTCTCATTCTCTTTCAATTTACCTCTATTTTTCTATTTTTATAAAATAAATGTCTGATCTCCCACTGCAGCTTTTCTCTCTCTCTCTCTCTCTCTCTCTCTCTCTCTCTCTCTCCTCTCTCTCTCTCTCTCTCTCTCTCTCCTCTCACTCTCTCGCTCTCTCTCTCTCCAAGGCATCCCATCATGCATCAGTAACCGTCTTATTACCCACAAGACCCTAGGGCCCTCCTCCTTCCCTGCACCATGTGCTGTGACAGGGAATAGTGTAAAAGTTTCCCCCTAGACCAGCGGTGTCAAACATATGGCCCGCGGGCCGGATCCGCGAGTGGGTCCAATCCGGCCCGCGGGTAGTTTGAGTAAAAAAATGTATACATTAAAATTGTGTAGGAAAACAAACTCAATATACTTTCAAATAAAACCAAATTGAAATTGTGTAGAAATGATAATGGACCTACATTCATACAGTTTCTTGACTGTGTCCAACTTGCTAATAATCACCGAAATGAAAGCTAGACAGTCAGGGAGCATCGAAAATTCCCACAACGATGAACATTTTGACTGCGATGAAATATAACACATTTTTAGAGCGGCCCTCCGGACCTCGTTGAAGACCGAATGCGGCCCTTGGGGCAAAACGAGTTTGACACCCCTGCCCTAGAGGCTGATCTTGAGTCAGCTTAGCATTCTTTTGGGAAAGAGCGAGAGGGAGAGAGAGAGAGACGAGAGAGAGAGAGAGAGAAGAGAGAGGAGAGAGAGAGAAGAGAGAGAGAGAGAGAGAGAGAGAGAGAGAGAGGAGAGAGAGAGAGAGATGAGAGAGAAGAGAGAGAGAGAGACACATAGGGAGAGAGAGAGAGAGAGGGAGAGAGAGAGAAAGATAACAGGCTGGAATTGGATCCCTATTCAAACAAGTAAAGTATGGCAGGGGTGAGGACGGAAATAGATAATGCTACACTAATAATAATACAGTCTCTCCTTTGTGCGAGAGCAAGGGGAAACGCTAGCATTACAATATTTTCTAAGTCAACAGATGGATAAAGGATGGATACATTTAGACTGGGTTTGGTTTTGAATTCCTACAATGATGAGTAGGCATTTTCTATGGACCAGGCTTTGTCATGGGTTGCAAAATGGAGGTGTGAGTTTGATACCGTTGTGTTTTGGTTACTGACATTGCAGTGGTAGGTGGATGGGTTGATAAGTGAGAATGGAAACAAGACGCTGAACTGCTAGAGAGACGAGAGTGCAGGTAAAGATTCAGACTGCAACTCTCTCTCTCTTCTTTTGTTCTTCCCACTTCTTATCCTCCCTTTGTCTCTCGATCTACCTCTCCCTCCCTTCCTCTATCTATCTATATTCATCTATCCTTCCCTTCCTCTCCTCCACAGTTTTTGGGACTAGGGTGGTAGGGAGGGGAGGTGATCTCAGAATGGATTTTGGTAAGTGAGGCAGAGTAGAGCAACAAGGCTGACACACACAGACAGACAGACAGACAGACACACACAGTGGTGTAAAGTACTTAAAGTCAGAAGTTTACATACACCTTAGCCAAATACATTTAAACTCTGTTTTTCACAATTCCTGACATTTAATCCGAGTAAAAATCCCCTGTTTTAGGTCAGTTAGGATCACCACTTTATTTTAAGAATGTGAAATGTCAGAATAATAGTAGAGAGAATGATTTATTTCAGCTTCCCAGTGGGTCAGAAGTTTACATACACTCAATTAGTATTTGGTAGCATTGCCTTTAAATTGTTTAACTTGGGCCAAACGTTTCGGGTAGCCTTCCACAAGCTTCCCACAATAAGTTGGGTGAATTTTGGCCCATTCCTCCTGACAGAGCTGGTGTAACTGAGTCAGGTTTGTTGGCCTTCTTGCTCGCACATACCAGTCCCTCCTGCTGCAAAGCACCCCCACAGCATGATGCTGCCACCCCCGTGCTTCACGGTTGGAATGGTGTTCTTCGGCTTGCAAGCAACCCCCTTTTTCCTCCAAACATAACGATGGTCATTATGGGCAAAAAGTTATATTTTTGTTTCATCAGACCAGAGGACATTTCTCCAAAAAGTATGATCTTTGTCCCCATGTGCAGATGCAAACCGTAGTCTGGCTTTTTTATGGCGGTTTTGGAGCAGTGGCTTCTTCCTTGCTGAGCCGCCTTTCAGGTTATGTCGATATAGGACTCGTTTTACTGTGGATATACAGTGGGGGAAAAAAGTATTTAGTCAGCCACCAATTGTGCAAGTTCTCCCACTTAAAAAGAAGAGAGAGGCCTGTAATTTTCATCATAGGTACACGTCAACTATGACAGACAAATTGAGATTTTTTTTTCTCCAGAAAATCACATTGTAGGATTTTTAATGAATTTATTTGCAAATTATGGTGGAAAATAAGTATTTGGTCACCTACAAACAAGCAAGATTTCTGGCTCTCACAGACCTGTAACTTCTTCTTTAAGAGGCTTCTCTGTCCTCCACTCGTTACCTGTATTAATGGCACCTGTTTGAACTTGTTATCAGTATAAAAGACACCTGTCCACAACCTCAAACAGTCACACTCCAAACTCCACTATGGCCAAGACCAAAGAGCTGTCAAAGGACACCAGAAACACAATTGTAGACCTGCACCAGGCTGGGAAGATAGGTAAGCAGCTTGGTTTGAAGAAATCAACTGTGGGAGCAATTATTAGGAATTGGAAGACATACAAGACCACTGATAATCTCCCTCGATCTGGGGCTCCACGCAAGATCTCACCCTGTGGAGTCAAAATGATCACAAGAACGGTGAGCAAAAATCCCAGAACCACACTGGGGGACCTAGTGAATGACCTGCAGAGAGCTGGGACCAAAGTAACAAAGCCTACCATCAGTAACACACTACGCCGCCAGGGACTCAAATCCTGCAGTGCCAGACGTGTCCCCCTGCTTAAGCCAGTACATGTCCAGGCCCGTCTGAAGTTTGCTAGAGTGCATTTGGATGATCCAGAAGAGGATTGGGAGAATGTCATATGGTCAGATGAAACCAAAATATAACTTTTTTGGTAAAAACTCAACTCGTCGTGTTAGGAGGACAAAGAATGCTGAGTTGCATCCAAAGAACAACATACCTACTGTGAAGCATGGGGGTGGAAACATCATGCTTTGGGGATGTTTTTCTGCAAAGGGACCAGGACGACTGATCCGTGTAAAGGAAAGAATGAATGGGGCCATGTATCGTGAGATTTTGAGTGAAAACCTCCTTCCATCAGCAAGGGCATTGAAGATGAAACGTGGCTGGGTCTTTCAGCATGACAATGATCCCAAACACACCACCCGGGCAACGAAGGAGTGGCTTCGTAAGAAGCATTTCAAGGTCCTGGAGTGGCCTAGCCAGTCTCCAGATCTCAACCCCATAGAAAATCTTTGGAGGGAGTTGAAAGTCCGTGTTGCCCAGCGACAGCCCCAAAACATCACTGCTCTAGAGGAGATCTGCATGGAGGAATGGGCCAAAATACCAGCAACAGTGTGTGAAAACCTTGTGAAGACTTACAGAAAACGTTTGACCTGTGTCATTGCCAACAAAGGGTATATAACAAAGTATTGAGAAACTTTTGTTTTTGACCAAATACTTATTTTCCACCATAATTTGCAAATAAATTCATAAAAAATCCTACAATGTGATTTTCTGGAAAAAATTGTCTCATTTTGTCTGTCATAGTTGACGTGATGATGAAAATTACAGGCCTCTCTCATCTTTTTAAGTGGGAGAACTTGCACAACTGGTGGCTGACTAAATACTTTTTCCCCCCACTGTAGATACTTTTGTACCTGTTTCATCCAGCATCTTCACAAGGTCCTTTGCTGTTGTTCTGGGATTGTTTTGCACTTTTCGCACCAAAGTACGTTCATCTCTAGGAGACAGAACTCATCTCCTTCCTGAGCGGTATGACGGCTGCGTGGTCCCATGGTGTTTATACTTGCGTACTATTGTTTGTACAGATGAACGTGGTACCTTCAGGCGTTTGGAAATTGCTCCCAAGGTTGAACCAGACTTGTGGAGGTCTACAATTCTTTTTCTGAGGTCTTGGCTGATTTCTTTTGATTTTGGGCCGCCCCCAGGTGGTAAGGGTAGGTAACAACACATCTGCCACACTGATCCTCAACACGGGGGCCTCTC